CCCCAAAACCCCAAAACCCCAAAACCCCATGAGATATCAATTTTAAATATTAAGAGGAAATGTTAACTACGTAATAAAATTAGAAATTAAACACGAAATTAAAAGTAGAGAAAGTTATTATTTATCTTATTCCAACATAAAATGCGAAATTAATAGTAGAAACCTGAGGCAATCAATGAATCTTAAGAGGATTTCTGTGACTATTCATTTGATCAAAAGACCGAGGACTTGAATGATAGAACTGAAAATGAGATCGATAACTCTTAATGTGATCTTAAATCAGTAACCATACCATTATTTTGTAGAGACCTTTATTAAATTCTTATAGGAAAGTTTGGAAATAAATGATCATCCTTCCTTTTCAGAAAGATAATTCATGTCAGTAGACCCAATTGACTTTGATGTAAGATAAGACAAGCATAATGATGCTATATTGACTATTAATGAGAATATGAGTGAATAAAAACATACATAAAGAGTCCTGCGAAAAGATATATAAAAATAATTAGATGATGACCGAATCAAATAGCAAAAATGCTGGCCGACAACAAAATTTTTCACTATGTATCAATGGAGAGATCTTAGAAGGCATAAGTGCCATTTTTGTCTGGCTCTTTGCTCAGTTTTCATTATTGTGCTCTCAACACTTATTGTTACTTCAGTAGTTAACAAAGGGCCTGTAATATTTTTGAAGATGGCTGAGGCTAATCACGGTGAAATTGATGCCTTTATATCTCCTGCTGGGTATGACTTTCCTACTCAAACAAAACAACAAGAATTTTTGAATTTCACTGCAGTTTAACAAGCAATCAAACCTAAATCATTCAATTTGAGTCCTAGAAAGTTATTCTGTGGCACCAGACTGACTAAAATAGACAGAGATCGTGAAAAGGAGATGCTAAAACTTTAGAAGCCAATTCAACAAAAAACTGACTAGACTAAAACAGAAAGAGCATTCTTAAAAGTATAAGATCCAAACATGTCTATCGAAAATTAGAACTAGAATGGGAAATTGTAAAATTTAACGAATATCATAAAGGAAGAATAGGTCACTTTCAAAATTGACAAGCATGTGTGCCTAATTTTGATAGATACCTAGAATGAAAAGAAAATTTAAGTCGGAACAAGGTATCCCTATAGTAAATTAGAATAGGGGGAATGTATAATAAGTCAAAAATAATTAGAAGGTGCACACTATAGTATTGGAGATATTGCACACTTAGAGATAAAGATAGAAAATCTATACAGATAGTTCATAAAAAACTACAATAACTAGGAGAATCTTACTGAAGAGATGAAAATTGATTAGCCTAAATATTTTGAATTCACAAAAACATAATGCAAAATCAAAGCAACAATAGATTAGTCTTACGGGAAATTCAGAGAGGATGACATGGAAAATCTCCTTATAATGGAATACAGTGAATTTATGAATTAAATAATATAGAGGCTACCAAATGAAATTTTAAGACATTAAGATCTCAGAGATTACATTGACAAATAAGAAAATGTCAGGTTAGATCACTATGCTGATCACTTAGTAATGACCATGCCATATCCTAGGATCAATTGGTATTCAAACAGCAATTATGACGATACTTAAAACTATGTTATTGAGCACATAAATCAATTAGTTAAAACTGTAGGCTTTTACCCAGTTTAAGTAAAGACCTTCTTATTGAAAGAAATGATGAAATATAATATAGCTTTGCTCTTGTTTAGCTTGATATTTAATCTAGTGCTTTTGATTTTTATTGTGATATCAATTCTGCTAATTTATTCATTAATTATGATTGGAGTTGAACAAAAGACTTTTGAGACTGGCATTATGAGAATGGTAGGGATAAGTAAAAAAGGACTAATACTAATGGTGCTTTTGTAAAGTTCTATGTTCGTCACTCCTGCCTTGATCCTTGCACTTGTTATGTCTATACCCTCATTAGCTATTGGATACTCTTATGTTTTTGATGAATCTGAAGGCAATGGCTATGAGCCCTATCCTACTTTCAGAGCTATATTCTTTTCTTTTATTGTAGGAGTTTTAATTCCAATTCTAAGTTCAATAATACCTCTTATGAAAGTTATGAGTTAAAATCTTACTGAAGCCTTAAGCTATGAAAGAAGTAGAGTAAAAGCTATATATATAGAAATTTTAAGAGCTGATAAAGTACATTTGTTGCCATAAATTGCCTTTGGCATTTTAACTTTCATTTATGGTCTATTAATATACTATGTATTACCGCTATCAATGCTTACTTATAATCTTGGACTCATTTTAGATCTATTTTTCTTAATCTTAATGGGAATGTTGTTTGGACTTTGTGTGATAGCGATTAATTTGCAAAATACTCTTGAAATAATTCTCACATATATATTTCTATTTTGGGAAAAGAAATCTATGAAATTAATGGTGCTGAATAATTTGAAAGCACATTTGGTCAGAAATCGATTGACAGCATCAATTTTTTCTATGGCTTTAAGTTTCATCATTTTCGTAATGGTTTCTTATAAATTACAAATGTAAAATCGAGATTCATCAAGAAATAATTGGTACGGTTCTGTCCCCACATTTGGTTCTAGAAATTAAAAAGCAATAAATCCTGTCTATATAGATCCTGTCCTGAGGAGGAATGCTAACATAATAGATTCATTTACCTATTTCACTTATGATATGCATGAAATGGATGATTCATTGGTTGGAAGAACTATGATAACAAATAGAGCAAGAGTATAATAGTTTAAAATTAATTTAAACGGAGTCTAGCCTAATATATTTGAGCCAAGTGAAGGCAATTTCCTAGATTTAGCTTTCAAAAGTACAGGTTTAAGTATAGGAGAATAGTTATATAGCTCCCGAGGAAACCAAGGTAAGATATTTTGGAATTAAAGTATATAGGAGCCGCAATTGGAACATTTATCTTAAAAACATTGATGTAAGAACCATCAAGGCAGAATTGGGATAAATAGGTGAGAATAGAATTATATCTCGAGAATTCCTAGTTCGTAAAATATCAATTACGGCCGGTTGTGATGCTTAATTAAGCCCCAATGTTTCAAATGACTGATAGAGAGGAAATTTCTCCTAAATATGGTCATTCAATGCTTGTATCTTTACCAATGTTTACTCACTATGCTGGTGTAAACTTAGATCAGCTCAAATACTAAAGAGTCTCGATTAAGTTAAATGATAAAGCGACGAGAGAAGATGAATAAAGATTATATTTTGAGATTAAAAGAGCCTGTCCTGGAATATACTCATAGTAAATATGGCTGGCCTCTAAATATAGAGATAATGTTGAATAAGTTGATTTCATAGTTTCTTCATTGTTTAATGTGATTATTGCTATTACGATGCTTTTGTGTTTCTTTTCATTAAGTTCTTCTATGAGTGCCAATCTTTACGACTAAAGCAAAGAAATCGCAATCTTAAGAGCAGTTGGACTTAAGAAGTCTAGAGTAATTTTTCTCTATATCTACGAAGCATTTATTTTGGTGGTTGCTAGTTCATTGCTTGGTACACTAGTAGGAACTGCAATTGGTTGGAGTATGACTATATAATTCTCAATGTTCTAAAGAATGCCTTTACAGTTCTTTTTCCCCTGGAAATAACTCTTAGTAGTATTCCTTATTGCTATTTTCTGTGCGATTCTCAGCACTTACGGCCCTGTTCGCTAGTTAATGAAACTGAAAATAGCTAATTTGCTTAAATTAGCTTGATCAATTAACTAACTATACATAATCTGAAATACTTATTTATTTTACATCAATATTAGTTATATCGATTTCACAACTAAATTCCATTAAGGGGTTTTGGGGTTTTGGGG